CCCCCCGGCAGCGGCTCCTTCCCGGCGTTTTACGAGGATGTCGGGGCTTTCTCGCCTTTTGCTGAGGCCGCCGTGTAAAGGTTTTACAGCTCTACCCGAGACTTCCCTCCTCCCCTTCCCATCCGCATTTTCCACCTCGGATTTGGGGCCGGAACTGAGGACAGGCGCTTGGGGGGGGGAGCACGAATCCCCCAGTCTCGCCACTGGGGGGGGAGGGTCAAGCAGTCCTGACCGGGCTGGGGAGGGGGGGTGGGGGGGTTGGGGCTCTGGTTATCGCCCGCTCCACATCGGTGAAAGAGCCCAGATGTGGGGGAAAGGATGGGAAAAAGGAAGATGTCACTAAAAGGATTAACCCTTAACGCGCCATAGAGGAGAGCATCCATTTCCAAACCTATAAACAGCCCTGGTTTCTTTTGAAGTTGCTTTCAGATACGCTGAAGATCGCGGTCAGATTGATTTTTTATTTATTATTTTATTATTTTATTGGATTATAGGCTGATCTTTGGGGAACATCCAAGTGACTGCTTCCTCTCGGGCAAAGCTGCCTCTGCTCTATGGCCTCTGCAGGCACAGAGATGAGGGCTGGTGGACTCAATGGTTAACACAGGGATAAAGGATTTGGAGAGAAATTGAGAGATTTGGAGATTCTCAGTCCCTACCACGTTTAGGAAAGCAGCAAAACATTTCCAGGCATTTTCCTGCACAGAAGGGATGGAGCTGTAAGGCAGAGATGGGAAGCTTTGAGCCACCCCTCCAGCCAAAAACTGTAAAACACGAGCAAGCAAGCAAACAAACAAAATGGTTCAGTATGGAGAGCAATTCATAGCAGGATCCAGATGGGGAAAAGCAAAATTTAACTGATCCCTGCAGTTGTCAGAAGGCGGAGGAGCTTTTCTGCCCTTCCACCGCCCATATAGAATCACTCGTGTTGGAAAAGTCCCTTATCTTGCCTATTTTCCTCCTTTTATATCAGTTTGTTGTGATTTCCCTCAGCCCCGACGTCCTCCCAAGGGGATTCACTGAGCTCTTCCAGCCTCACTGCGTCACCGCTCGCAAAGCTCAGCACGAAGCCATCGGCTCTCCCCTCTCGTGACGTCATGGTGGAGTGACGTCACGCCGAAGCTCGGAAGTACGTGCGGGAAAACGAGCAGAAAAATGAGGGCAGCCCATGCCTGAAATACTTTAAAAATGACTTTTAAAAAAGAAAAAAGAAAAAAAAAGAAGTGCAAATCGCTGCTTGCAAGGCTCACGAGTTGGAGCAAGCTGCCGTTCGATGCACTGCATTCACAAAAGAAAAGGCAGAAAGAAAAGGCAAACCAACGCGGCTGGTGGCCGTGGTAGCGGTCCTGGAGTTTATTCGCCCTTCCGAGGCTGTTTGGGGTTTACAGGAGCTTTAAACCCGGCGCTGCTGCCCCTAAACGGCACGCAGTGAATGCGGGCTCATGCGCCGAGCCCTTCCCTTCCACCGTCAAACACACCTAAAGGAGAAGAGGAGAGCGGGTTCCAGTACTTACACCCTATTTATTCTGATGTAAAGGATCACAGCGTTTCTTATTATTCACCAGTATCATTTTGTATGACGCGGGGTTTATCTCAGCACATGCTATGAAACATATCACTATAAATCAGCGTTGTTAGGAGGAGGTGGGTACAACATTAGTACAAACGAAATCGTGTATGGAATTATACAAATTGCATTTACTCGTATCAAAAGATAGCCACGAGCATACATGTATTGTATGTATGCATACAAACACGTGCATATATATTTATATCCACACAGCCGGTACCATACTGCATGTGTACATGCATACGAATACACATCTGGGTATATATATCGACACGCAGACACAAAGATCGTAGGTTGGGAAAGGGAAAATAAGGCGCAATCCTAACCGTGTGCGTTTGCACACCTATGTGCATCTCTGATACATAACAGCAACGCGGTGGGTGCCTGCAGCAACGGCTGTGAATACGGGTCCGCTCAAGCAAGAAACGTGCGTGCGTTTCCCTACAGCACACCTGGACTGCATGGATTTCCTCCTTCGAAGAGCATTTGGATGCTCCTGCCTGGATTCTAGGTTCTAAGCTCGGGTTTTTGCCTTGCAGAACAAATCCGTGTGCAGTTCGCCCTCCCCCACCCCCCACCCGGCCCGCCGTACGCAGACGAGACAGGAGTTGCGTTCGGGGTTAATTAATGCAATTAGGCTTTTTTTTTTTTAAAGAAAGCGCGCTGCTGATGCAGTTCGAACAAAAGCGACGGAGGGAGACGAAGCGAACACGACGTGGTAAAGGCAGAAAAGGCAAACTGTACGTAGTCCTGGATGGGAGCATTGCCCTTTCCGACGTGCGGTTCCCTCATCTGCCGATGGGTTTTGCCCCTCGGGAACAGAATACCCTTCATTGCCCCGTGAGGACGATGCTTCAGTCCCCTCCCGGTGCCGCTCAACGTGCCGGAGCGCCGGGGACCTTTTGGGGCTGCGGTTTGGGATGGCTGTGGTTCTCACTGTGCACCGCTGCTGCTTTTGATTTTGGCGACGACTTTTTTCTCTTTCACCCTCCTGTTCTGGAACCAGATGGTGATCTGTCTTTCCGTAAGGTTGGTGGCTGCCGAGATCTTCCTCCTTTTGTCTCGGGTGATGAATTTGCTGCTGGCGTACTCCTTCTCCAGCTCCTTCAGCTGCCCCTTGCTGTACGGGACTCTCTTCTTGCGGCCCCGGCGAAAGGCGCAGCCGTCGGGGGGCAACGGAGCGGCGGCGTCTGGGAGAGATGGGGCTGAACGGGGCCGGGCTGGGGGGGCACAACGCACCCGGGACCCCCAAATCCGGCAGCAGCACCTTCCCCTCTACTACCCCAGTCCTTCCCTCTAGTCTTCCTATCTACTTACAGTGTATTCCCTAACGAAATGTAAAGGTTATCTTTCCTATTTGCATTTATTCATACACGCTTTTCCTCTTTACATGCATTCAAATCTTGTTTCTCTCCTCTGCATTTATTTAAGCCTTATTTTTTCTTCTCTGCATTTATTCACATAGTCTTTCTCCTCTAAACCTATCTGTACATTGTCCTTCTCCTCTAAACTTACTTATACATTGTCCTTCTCCTCTAAATTTATACCTTGTTCTTAATTTTGGTCTCTAAACATACTTACAGATTGTTTTTTTTCGTCTCTGAACATATTTATACGTTATTTTTCGTCTCTAAACTTATCTTTTTTTATTATTATTTATTTATTTGTAATTATTTTGAGGGTCCAGGTAACGACCACCAACGTGAGGCAGCCTAGCAATAACACGTTCTCTTTCCCCATTCCCACTGCTGCCTTCGGGTTATGTCACCGATCGCCTCACTGCCCGAGCTGCAAAGGACATCGTTCATCTTAGTTCTTATTTTTGCAGCCTGGCCTCCCTCTTGCTCACAGTGAAGAGCTTTTGGTCGACAGCACCATTTTTTTCCAGTGGGTTATTATAAGCCTTATTTGAGCAAACTACGTTAAGCCTTTCTCCCAACCACCCCTCTCACAGCCCCTCCGCGTCTCCAGCCCACGGACTTTACCTGCAAAAGCGGATTTCAGGAGGTAGCCGGCCTGGCCTTGATCCTTAGGGCAGCACATCTGACCGCTCCAGCTGCCTCCCAGAGCCCAGGGCTGATGGTAACCATCCACGGGCAGCAACGCTTCGTGCCTCGGCTCTCCTGGACCGCCCAGCCCCGGCACCACCGACACGTCCAGGTATCCGGCCACAGGCTGATATGGAGCACCGTAACCGGGGTAGAAAGCCAACTCTGCGGGACGGCTTTGGAAGTCCTCGCTGCCCGTGGGGGGGGTCCAGGTACTTGTCGGGGGGAAACGGCCCCTGAGTCGGGCCGGCTTTGAGAGCGCTGCGGGCGACTCGGCACGAATAATAACCCCCACCCAGGTACCCGTAGGGCAACGGAGCGGAGGCGGTGGGACCAGGCGGGGCGGCGGGGCCAGGGGGGGCCGTAAGGCACGGCTTGGCCGCTTCTTCAGTCGGGTAACCGGGGTTCATCCCGGGGGGAGGCGAAGGGCAACCGAGGGCCGGTGGGGGCGGCAGGATCCTGCCTTGACCGCCTGCGAAGCCGCCGGCAGCCAGGAGCCCCTCGAGGCCAGGGGGCTGCATGCGGGGCGGCGCGGGGGCCGGGGCATGGAGAGAAGCTGCTCGACTTCACCCGGGTACTGCCCGAGGGGGGGGGGTCCCCGGATCTTTTTAAAAGGCTGAGAGCTGCCGAGAGCTGCCTTGCCCCGCCGGGCTGCCCTGACGCAACGGGTAGAGCCGGCCTCATTGGTTAATGCGTGGGGGAAAAAGGACGGAGAAGGAGGGGGAAAAAAAAAAACACACACACACACCACACAGACAAACCCACAGGAAAAAAAAATAAAAAAAATTCTCCAGCCCAGCCCTAATAAACCGTGGCTGCAGAAATTGCGAAAATACTTTTATTGCAGTCGGAGGAGGAGGGAGGAAACCTCCCCAGCACGTGACAGGCGGGTACAAGCCTGTGCATTATACAAAAAAATAAGAGGGGGGGAGAAGGGATCGAGGGAGGGATGGGGGACGAGGGAGGGAGAAGGGGAGGGAGAACGGAGAGCAGCACGGAGGAGTAATTCCGGGTGGAAAAACACGGGCTCAGCTTCAAACCGTCCCGTAATGATGTGTCCACATCTTCCTTAGAGGTCTGAGGGCAGAAAAACTCCATTGGGGACACCTGGGGAACCTCTCAGGCCCTCAGCCTGGCCTTGCTCATAGTTTGTGTCCCATGCACATTCCTGCAGCCACCCACCACAGTGTAAACCAAAAAGACAAAACCTATGTTCTGTGTAACCTCTACCTAACCTCTGTAATAGGTACAGCTTTGTACCTAAACCTATATATAACCTATAGACAGGGTGCAGGGAAGGTATGATCGTGACAAGCAAGGAGTGAAAAGAGAAAAAAATAACTGTAAAGGGTGGGGAGAAAAGGGTCTCTTTGGGTTCAGCTTTGCCTTCTCACACAGTGCTGATGGGGATTTGGGATGGGGGTTCAAGTCAGCAGCTCAAAGGGGAAGTTTGGAAATGGAGAGGGATCGTAGGGAGAGCCTTTGGGTGCAAGAGGAGTGGGCATACAGAAGGGTATGGACAGGCGGGTGTGGAAATGGAGGGTTGCTTCAACGTGGAGAAGTTTGGAGTTAATACACCGAGGCCCACGTGTGTGTAAATGTTCAGAAATGATCGGGCTATGCGCTTTTATAATTGCTTGTACCTGTGGTGCAAACACAGAGCTGCCTTTCTCCCTCCTGTTCCTCTCCGTTTTACCCTAAAAGTTTTCGTCCGGGGGAAACCTTCAGCACTGTCACCCAAAGGGCAGAGCAGCTCATGCACTGCCAAGAAGGAAAGCGTTTTTTCCTTCTTGCAAAGAGATCAGCTTAAGAAATCCGCAAGAAATCGAGAATTCCTCTTTTTCTCGTTACCGAATATCAGCACCGCCGCTCCTTCTGCCGCGGCTTCGGCCACCAAAGAAAGCATTGAGTCGCAAAACCCCAAACTGAAAGGGGTGGTGGTGGTGGGGGGGGGAAGCAATGATCACGTCGGGAAAGCAGCGGCTCCTCAAAGCGGCCCCGGGGGGCGGATTGAAGCTTCATCCCCACCTGTGGATGCGACTGTGGCTGGGTGGGCTGGGGCAGGGTGGGGAGAGGGACAGAGCTGGGTCGGCAACGGCAACTCCTGAGGAAAAGCCCTCGGAGGTCTTCCCCCCCTCCTCTGCAGACACCGCTCCTTTCAGCTCAGGAGATCCGTGGGGTCTCTATGGGATTTTGCCCCGCTGCGTCCTACAAAAAAAGGGTAAAAATGAGCGCGAAGTTGCGGGTTCGGTCTTGGCTTTTGTCGTTCGCTGCTGCTGAAAATCTTGGGGTCTTTGTGGACGCGGTGGGGTTTGTTTTATTTTATTTTATTTTGGAAGAAAGAGAAAAAGAGGGAAAAAGAGGAAGAAAGAGAAAGAAGAAAAAGAAAAAGGGAAGAAGAAAATGGTAAAAAGGAAATAAGAAAAAAGAAGAAATGAGAAATAAATAAGAATGAAAAGAGAAAAAGCGAAAGGAAGGAGAAGAAAAAAGAGAAGGGAAAGACAGGAAAGGGGGGAAAAGGAAAAAAAGGAAAAGAGAGAAAGGAAAAGAGAGAAAGGAAAAGAGAGGAAAAAAAAGAAGAGACAAAAATGGAAAGAAACTACAGAAGAAAGAAAAGGGAGATCTGAAAAATCGGGGTGGGGAAAAAAAGACATCAAGGAAGAAAATTGAAAAATCAAACTCCCATCTTTTTAACCTCCACCTTTCCTTTTTCAGAGCCCCCCCCCTTTTTTTTTTCCCCTTTCGCACACTGGGGGCCGCGGTCCGTTGGGGGCCTTCGTGTCCCGGTCCCCCCCCCCCCCCCCTTCCCCATCCAGCTCCCATTTGCTCCGCTCCCTGCTTTGCTCTCGGCTCCGCGTTTGCCGCAGCTCCGGGCCGGGCTCCGTGTTGGGGTCAAGGCCAAGTTGAACGCCGAGGCCGGCAATGCGGGGCCGCCGTCGGATCCAGAAGATGCGGGGGGGGTCGAAACGGGGCAGCTCGAAATGAGAAAACCCGAAAGGATCCGGGATGGTGAGGAGCTGCGGACGCAGAGGAGCGATTGGCCCGGTGCTCTGTGCCTTTTTTCATTATAATTCGTATTTTTTTTTTTTTTGCCTTTTTCTTTATCTCTCGTTCGAGGAAGATCCAACAGCACAGCGCCCAAGGAAGGAAGAAGCGCCGCTGGATGGAAACGGGATTTTAGCCTTTTTCCAAGGAATTCTCGGTCAGACGCAGCCCTGCTGCCAGCTCCAGGAGCAGCGCCGGCTGAGGTTCTGCTTTCTGCCTCTTTTCACCCCCAAATTCCCACTCGGGTTCGCTTATTTAGAGGTCGGAGGGGACTTTTTCACCCGGTTTCTCCCATACATTTGCACGTGGGCTGATTTATCGGAGGCATTACCGATCTTTTGAGGTCTCCTTTCCCTTCGGTTTATCTTTGCAACACGGTCGGAACATTTCGAGCGCAATTTGCAGTGGAAACGATTGCAACTGTGGCTTTCAAAGCGATATTAAGATTTCTATTCTTTGACAATTTTACACATGAAATTCGGTGTGATATTTTATATCACAATAAAGCCAGAGGAACGGTGTCATTTTAAAGGAAAAGATCGATTTATTTACCAGCTCCTCTCTGCTCTCGCTGATTGTGTTTGAAATTATTAAATACACTTTGCAGCTATACTGATATTATATTCTTGATGGGATCCATTTAATATTTATGCCATCTGGAATCCGAAAATCTTTGGAATAGATCTGAACTGTCTGTAATTCTTTTTTAAAAGCAATTGAAATTGAGGTCGTCCTCACAAAATAGAGGGGGGAGAAGGGGGGGAAAGCAACCTCAAAACCAACACAAACCCCAAAGCAGTTTGAAGGGGGAAAAAGAATTGGAACTACTTAAAGACGTAACATTTGGAAAGAATCAATTGCTGAAAAATTGAGTTCTGGCTCTGGAAGGGAGCCCAGCCCTTTGGTGTCTGATTTTGGCAATATTTCTGGGAAGAAAAAAAACCCAAACAAATAAAGGCAAATATTTTGACCTCTCCTTTCTTTCTCCCTTCATTGATGGACGCTCCATCCCCCCCCCCCCCCCCCCCCCACCCCCCAACGGGCAGCCCCAGAAGCTCAGGAGGACACAGGGGAGAAGATTTCTCTCCCTGGTGCTTGGAGGGCCATAATCTGTACTTCATAGCACGTTGCTCTTGAATCCTTTGAACAAATCAGCTGGCATGGGAACAGACAGCACGGCCTGGCTTTTCTTCACTCCTTTTATCCTTGTCTATTGCTCCTGGCCGAGCCCCTGTGCTTGCAATCACTGCAGCACATTTCTGACCCCCCCCCTCTTTAGGGTGCAATGTGAAGCGACCTCAAACTTGAAGCATTTTGTTGCACTTCAGGTCTCCCTTCCCCGAGTTTGTTTGGCCAGAGGCTTCTTCCTTACCTTTCAGTTTCCCTTCCAGGAACCAGGAAGGCTGAGCACCCTGGACAGGCAAACCTGAAACCTCCACTTTGGGGTTCTCCTTCCCTTTCTCCAAAATATAGTGTTGAAACTCTAGGAGGTTCCCCAAAGGCTGCAGCTCCTTTGCAATACGCCCCTCTTTAAGCCTCCCCCTCTGCCCACCTCTTGCTTATTGGGCAGGGGAAGGCTGAAACTCCAGAAGGGGTTCAATCTGTCCTCACTGCTGCCTCCAGGAAAGGAAGAGTTGTGGTTGGATCTGTATGACTTTACCTGCAAAGCAGAAGCCTGAGGAAATTGAAGGTAATGTGGCCTGGGTGCAGCATATGAAGCAAATCCTCTTGTCCTGGAGCAAAGAGAGAAAATATAAACGCTCATCTGCTACTGCAAACAGAGACATTTGCACACCTTCAACCTGGAAACCTCCCCATAAATACTGCTGGGTGTCCACGTCTGTGTTGTCTCTGTGTACAGCCTCGTTTAAATATGCAAGTGCTCTTGTTAGATATGGCAAAAATGTGCCTCTCTCCTCACCCCCCTCTGCATACCCCTATATGTGTGCGTGAGTTGCTCTGCCCTGAGTCCCACCCCACTGGAGCAGCACTTTTGCCTGAGCCCATTTCCCTTTTTGAGCATCCATCACTGCACACTCCAGGGATTAATTCAGTGTTCCTGTGTTCCTGCTCAGCTAAAGCAAATCATTTCAGCTGTTATGGGATAGAAGGGCAATCGCTCTGCGTGCAGCTTGCTGTACTTCTGATGTTTCATTCATTAAGAGCTGTTCCATTCCTCTCAACTTTCCCACTTGGACCTGGCTGCGGGTCCTGCAGGCAGCCTGCAGAAGGCATGGTCACACAGATGGTGGGGATAAGTCAGATTTTAAGTGGAATCAGGAATATTTTAGGGCTATTCTCACAAATGTGCCTGGGACTGGGATCCCCCTGAGGGAGGTGAATCCAGGTGGGAACTCAGCAAGACCAGGAGCAGCTCTCCCACACCATGCTGCTGCCAGGGAACTTGGGCAGAGGGCAGCCTGCAGGTGGGAACCTCACACCATAAACCTACAGATGAGACTGTTCAGATGCTGAG